ATCTTATCGAATGGCGGGGCACAGGCTCGAGGGGCCGAATGGCCGACTCCTGCTCCTAATTCTTATATTCTTATGTTCTTAATGTGCTGGAGGTTCCAAAAGCAGAATCTATTTGGTTAGAGTTAAGAAGCAGAAAAGGAGCAGTTACTCTGTTAGATGCATAGACTACCAAATAGTGGGGAGGAGGTATACAAGCAAATCTGCAGCAGATTTCAGAAAGAGACAAAACCGATAGAGTACTGACAATGTGGGACTTCAATTATCTGAACACAGACTGGCAAAATAACATGGTAAAGGGCAAGGAGGGGGAAGGATTCCTGAAATGTGTGCAGGATAACTTTCTGGATCAGTATGTTTCCAGCCCAACGAGGAAGGTTTGGCCACAAGCTTTCAATTCTCCTTGGAAACCGAGGTGTTGCCAGAGGACTGGAGGGTTGCAAATGTTACTCCCCTGAACAGAAAGGGGCAGAAGGATAAACCCGGGAACTACAGGCCTAACGTCAGTAGTGGGGAAACTCCTAGAGACTATAATCCGGGACAAAGTAAATTTTCACTTAGAAAAATATGGGTTAATAAAGGACAGCCAACACAGGTTTGTTAAAGCCAAATCATGTCTAACAAACCTGATAGAGTTTTTTGATGAACGGAGAGGGTGGATGAAGTTAGTGCAGTTGATGTAGTTTATATGGATTTACAAAAGATATTTGATAAAGTGCCACATAAGAGACTTGTCAGCAAAATAGAAGCCCACGGGATTAAAGGGACAGTGGCAGTGGATACAGAACTGTCTGGGGACAGAGAGAGTGATGGTGAACGGTTGTTTTTCTGACTGGAGGGAAGTTGCAGTGGTGTCCCCCAGGGATCGGTATTGGGACCACTGCTGTTTGTGATCTATATAAATGTCCTGGACTTGGGTACAGGGAGGACAATCTCCAAGTTTGCAGATGATACTAAACTGGGAAAACTAGCAAACAGTGAGGAGGATAGTAGCAGATCTCAAGGGGACATAGACAGACCGGTAACACGGGCAGACACGGGGCAGATGAAGTTTATTGTGGAGAAATACGAAGTGATGCATTTTGGAAGGAAGAATGAGGAGAGGCAATAAAAGCTGATGGTACAATCTTAAAGGGGGTGAAGGGATAGAGAGACCTGGGGGTCATATAGTAAATATTTGAAGGTGGCCGGACAGGCAGATACAGCTGTTAAAAAAGCCTACGGATACCAGGCTTTATAAATAGAGCATAGCATACACAAGTCAGGAAGTTCTGATGAACCTTTATATAAAACATTGGTTAGGCCTCAGCGAGAGACTGTGTTCAGCTCTGGGCCCCACACTTTAGGAAGGATGTCAAGGCATTAGAGAGGGAGCAAAGGAGATTGACCAGAATGGTACCAGGAATAAGGGGCTTCAGTTATCAGGAGAGGTTAGAGAAGCGAGGATTATTCTCCTTGGAGCAGAGAAGATTAAGAGGAGACTTGATAGAAGATTTCAAAATGATGAGGGGACTCGATAGGGTGAACAAGGAGAAACTATTCCCACTGGCGGGAGGGTCGGTAACCCCAGGACACCAATTTAAAATAGTTGTTAAAAGAAACACAGGGGAGGTGAGGAGAAATGTTTTGACACAGTGGAGTTGTTCGGATCTGGAATACATTTTTGGGGATAGCTCTTCGCCCTATTATTGCATTGGATGTTTTCTTTCATTAATAGCTGAAATGATTAATCTCTCAATACCCCTCCCTCCTGTGGGTTGCCATCTCTGGGCATTGATTCCTAGTTGGAGGACATCTACAGTGCATGTAGGCAACAGCCCATTAAACAACTGCAAATTGCATTTGGAATGCATTGCCTGAAATGCATTGCCACTATTGTTGTGTCAGCCTACACTTTGAACCCAATAAACATCCGTGTGTTTGATATAGCACCTTATCATATTGTCAAGACACCTCCAAGCGCCTTACAGAATAGCTGTACCCGTTGCAGCTACACTTGCAACCAGTTTCATTTAATCGACCGTCTCTCTTCCATCTGGCTTTGCTTCTTAGGCATGTTTATCCCTTAAGATTAAGAAAATGTGCTATTGAACTCGTTAGCCTCCCTCGTTCACATATTTGCACACATAGCCTTCTGGGAGGACTCAATGGGAAGACTCAGTGGGAGACCTCCTGACACACAGACATTTTGTCTTTATTAATATAAAATATAAAAAGTAGGTACTGTGAAAGAATGGGAAGATCAAATGAGCCGAAGGGCCTTCTTTATCTGAACTTCACTTTTAATCTTGTGACTCAGATGAAACCCTTGGCCCATTTGATCTCATCCTTTCAGATTACTCATTCTGTCATTTTCCTAATACAGCTAAAGCATTTTCTTTTAAATAAGTCCAGTGTTATGGTCTCTTACCGCCCTTCCTGATAACCCATTCCAGCTGTTAAAAATAATAGGCCATTCAGTCCATTCACTGTTTTTTTCTTTGCACGGTTTCTTCTGAGGATCAGCCTTTCCAGTTCAGGTAATTGACAGTTTACTAAATAAAATGATTGAACACTTCTCAAAAGTGATTTTTCATAGTGATTTTAAACAATGATGATAAATTTGTTGGAGTGACTTTGTAAGCATGAGATAGTGCTTAACAGGAATTTGTTTACCTAACATGAACAACACTATATATGATAGGTTGTGTGTACTGGAGCTTGGCAACTCTTTACAAGCACTTTTATGTTCAACGGTACAATAACCCCTTGTGTAAGTTGCTTACCTTCTCAGTCATAGGAATTGGAGAGAATGAGGTGAATACACTCAAAATCAAAGAACTATAACCTGAAGAATTGTGGAGTCCTGTAGCTCAGTGGTTAGAGCACTCGCTTTGCAAGTGAGAGACCTGAGTTCAATTCCAGGCAGAGGGCGAAACCTTGGGCAAGTTTCCTTACTCCACACAGAGCCTAATAATAATCCCTCCAAAACCAAAACAATAATAAATTGGTCATTTTCAATCCATGACTGTTTGTGGGGACACTTACTGCTGTGTGCAATTGGCTGCCGCTTTTCACCCACAAATACACAGTCAATTCACTTTACAGCATATTCTGTGAAGCGCTTTGAGATGTCGAGAAGATGTGAAAAGCGCTATATCAAATGCAAGGATTATTATTAGTAGTAGTAATACAGATGTATCTCTCTAGAAGGCTGGGTGACTTCTGTCACTATGCTGGTGCAGAATACCTTTTTGGGTGCTTAATTAAAGCATTTTTTAACATATATTTTAATATAACTCATCAATAGGAGATCCCCAAAAAGTATGGCCATGACACTCCCCCATGCAAGACCTTTCCGATGAGGTATAAATTATATCGCTAAGTTAATCGAGTATTGTTTTCTAGGCAGACGCAGACATTTTGTTTTTATTAGTATGGATAGTAAAGTGAATTAATAACAACAACAACAAAATACATTTGTCGGGAGTACGTGGAAAGGCACCCAAGGCACCGGAGAGTCAGAGTTTCAAACCTGAGCTGGGGGTCGGGGGAGGGTGGAGGGTGGGGGGGGGGGGAAGTAGGGAGATCGAAAGCACGGTCAGAGGAGGGTCTGAGATGGGCTTGAAGGAGGCAAGGGAAGGGTGGAGACAGAGGGACTGCGGGATGGAGTTCCAGAGTGTGGGGGCGGAGTGGTAGAAGGCCAACCCACCAATATTGGGGTGAGCGAGGATGGGGATGTGAAGCAGGCCGGAGCCCGCTGAACGGAAGAAGCGAGCAGGATGGTAGGGGTTAGGCGGTCACAGAGGTCCGGGCGAGCAAGGCCCTGGAGGGCTTTGAAGGTGAGGACCGGGATGTTGAACTGTATCCTCTGTGTGATGGGAGTGGAGTCGGGTGAGGATGGGGCTGATAGGGTCACGGAGCCCGGTGCGGGAGAGGACACGGGCTGCAGTTAGTTCTGGATGATCTGCAGCCTGTGGAGGGAGGAGTTGGGGAGGTCGATAAGCAGGGAGTTTGCATAGTCGAGCCTCGATGTAATGAAGGCGTGTGTGAGGGTCTCAGGGGCTGCGATGTGAGACAGTGGCGGAGCCGAGCGACGTTGTGGAGATGGGGGAAGGCAGAGCGGGTCATGGCGCAGATGTGGGGCAGAAAGGATAGTTGAGGGCCAAACCAGACCCCAAGGTTCGGGACTGGCTCAGTGAGGGGGAGTGAGCCCCATGGACGGTGATGCTGTCAGCGCCTGAGGTGAGGAGGCGCTGTCGGGAGCCAATCAGGAGCCTCGGTCTGGTTGACGTTCAACTGAAGAAAGTTATCTCTCATCCAGGACTCGATGTTTTGTCAGGACAGCAGTGGTCCTGGAGACCAGGGTGGAGGCAGAGAGGTACAGTTGGGTATCATCCGCATACATGTGGGAGTTGATATGGAAACCCGATTGGACGGGTTCGTGAAGGGAGTGGCCGAAGAGGAATTAACTGTATTTTGTGGGTGAAACACGGCAGCCAATTGTGCACAGCAGTGTCCCACAGTCATGGATTGAGAGACCAACATTTTTATATATATATATATACAGGGATAATTACAAGCAGAAAGCGAACCGCCAATAAATTAATTAATTAACAATCGGGTTCCTACTTACGGCCAGGAATTGAACTCGCTTGGGCCTTGAACCCACGATCTTCTGCCCAAAAGGCTTCTGAGCCAGTTTGACATTTCTTTAAAGCAGATGCCAAGATACCACAGCTGAAACGTTAAGATGCCTTTGCAATGCTCTCCTTGAGATTTATCTCAGAATTGTGATTTTAAAAAATCCAATTTCATTCTCAGAATTCTGAGGTGCACCTTACGATAAATGTAGGGTTTGAGTGTTGCAAGGCAAAGATTTCTTTAATATACTTTTGGTAAATATAGAAAAACAGCAGTTCTTTCACTGAATTTAATGGTGAGACCAGAGTGTAGCCACAATGATCTAAACCACACAAAGTTATAAGTTTCGATGCGGAGGACAGAATACACAGACACACACGCACTGTGCACTGTTGATTTAATAACCCAGTATTACTGTTATTCAATCGGCAGCAAATCAAGCTTTGTAACAAATATCATCATGAACATACAACACACCAAATAACGATACACTCCCAGGTACATGTCCGCATCGCACAATACTCTCAAGGCAATATTAAATAGCAAGGGAACCAAATGTAAAGTAGCCTCGCTGACAGGCTAGACATGGCTTGTTGGGAATTGGGTAGGGAGGGGGCAGGTGAAGGGGCTCAATCGCCACGAAGTCAAGCACCACAAATAGGTTGTAAAAGCAGCCCAGAGGTAACGAGGTCTCGATGGTGTGGCCCCGTGGAGATGAATCCATTTCGATTTTCATCTCTGTTCCACTGCTGATTGTTGGCTTAAACACACCCAGCCACTTTGTTCATCTATTACTGGCAAGTCTCCCCGCGATGGAGTCTCTTTCCTTTCCCATCCCCCCCCCCCACCGTGAGTGTAGCATCCGTTCCGCTTCAAGAAGCAACTCTACCCAAACCCACGCTCACTGGAGATTCTGAAGGTCACAGAGATCGGGAGAAAAGATTTCAATTAAAAGTCTAATCCTTCTGGTTCAGACACGGGTGAAATTCTTCTCCCCTCCCCCCATTTCACCCTCTCGTCCTCCACCTGCTGGCCCTCCGTCTCCTCCCCTCCCCAAGGGCTTCTCAGCCTCTCACTTCACTTTAAGAGATGTTTAAGCTGGGCCTGCAGGTTAGACGAATGCTCCACGCTGTTGCAACATTTGATTTGGAGACAAAAAAAAGAGATTTTATTACAATTGAGATCAGAATCAATTATCCCTAAAAATTAACAATACTAATAATAATCCTTGTGTTTGATAACATCCTTCTGTAAAGTGACTGTGTATTTTGCAGGTGAACAGTGTAGCCAAATTGCACACAGCAACATCCCAATTACAGCCGTGAAGCGAATGATCACTTTTACTTGGGAGATTGTTGGCCAGGACCCCAAAAAGGGAAACTCTCTTCTCTTTTTGAATAGTGCCATGGATGGGCAGACGGGATCTTGGTTTAAAGTTTCATCCGAAAGCACCTATAACAATACACACTCCCCCAGTATTGACTGCACTAATCTCTGACTGTCCAGCGCCTCGTAACATCCTCCACATGTAAAAGGTACAATGCAAATGCAATTTGTTGTGTTGTTGCAGTGTCAGCCTAGCAGAAGATCAATGGACTGGATGGATATCTAGATGGGAAAGATTTATCCCAGATGGCAGGGAATGGTGGAGGAACAGAGGGAACGAGGAGCGACCAATAGAGCTGTTTTCTTGCCAAGGCCAGAAAGACACCTGGTGAATACAACAACAAGATTAAATGTGTATAGCGCCTTTCACATCGGGAGGATGTCCCAAGGCGCAGGACAGTGTACAGCATTTCAGACCCGAGCTGGGGTCAGAGGGGGAGAAGGGAGGGGAGGGGAAGGGGTTGGCAGATGGCATGGTCGAATAACATCAGGATATTGTCAGGAAGACAAGATGTGTTGGAAGAGAATCATTCACAAGGACCTTCACAGCTTACAACACCCGCGCTCCCTACCCCAACCTCCCCACCCCTCCCGCTTCTCAACATAAAGTTGATAATTTTCCAAACAATTGTCAGGATGTTTCTGTTCTTATCGGAAAGGGGAGTGGGTAGTGTCACTGTTACTTAAAATTAACAGCACCTCTGAGAATGCAAGCTCTTGTCACTAATCAGTGGGAATTGTCTCTCAGAGCAAAACCTGTCCTAGTTAAACTATTTTATTAAAATACTGAAATGTATGGGACGGGGGGGAAAAAAACAGCATTAGTATCACATTGTCTCCATCAGTGAAGGGAGCGAGAGAGGTTTTCTTGGAAAGACTTTTCCTGGACTTTTCCTGGAACCACCCAGCTAGGTTTTGAGCCAAATGATCTGGAGTAAAAGTAATGTGTAAAACCACATCAGCCACAGACACACAGGGGAGAAATGATGAGATTATCTGAGCCACTCAGATAGATCAAAACTAAGCAAACTCTTTCATTTGGTCCGCATTTCAAAGCTGTTTACCTGGCACTTTTTCTAAACTTATCCTGTTCCTAACCAACCAAAGAACATTTCTTCTCTCCCCCACCCTCCCACCAAAAATTCCCCCCACCCAAGACAAAACGTTCTTCCGATTTCAGTCCGAGCAAACAAGCAGACCCGTAATCGGTACAAGAGAAGGAAAGAGAAACACTCACTTTTTCTGAATGGCTTCTTGTCTGCATGAGAGAAAAAAACACATACAAAGAATGGAGTAAATACATATTCCTGAAACAAACCCCCCAAAAAACTGCACCTATTCGAAGCCCCAAAGGTCTGAAATTCCACCTGGTCTCAGCCCATGACACTGGTTTGGTCGAAACATTTTACCAACGGAGCAGAATTGTGGAAAGATTCTTCAATCTGACCATCCTGACGACGGACCAGCCACTTGGCTCATCGGTGGGAGATGGGGGGTTGAATGGTCTCTGAGAGCAGAGATTCTTCCCACTCAGTTCCTGTTAATCCTGCGAGACAAACGGGTAGTACCCATCTGGACAAGCAGCGGGAAGCTTGCCAGACAATGCTCTCAATGGCAAGCTTAGCTGGTTAGCTCTTTGACCGTGCCTTCAGCTCCCCTCTTGACTCTCTACCCCCTCCTCGCTCCCTCCCTTCCCTCCCCTCACCCTGACCATCTCCCCCCTCCTCGCTCCCTCCCTTCCCTCCCCTCCCCCTGACCATCTCTCCCCTGCTCGGGTCATGACCCAACTGTACAGCGCCTTGGGACGTCCTCCTGACGTGAAAGGCGCTCTATAAATGGAATCTTGTTGTTGTTGTTAAACTCTAGCACTAACCCAACGCACATCCTGGGGTCTTCAAGCCTTGGCTCTCACCCACCTATGCCTAATACTCTCCGGGATGAGGTAAGCAGAGTGCTCCCTCTGGGCAGAGAGGTCCGTATTCCATTCCAGACACAGGGAAATTCCCACGCGGAGGTGGAAATGGAACTCCCAGTCTGATTTGGATACTCTTACACACGGTGACGGGTTTCCGCGTGAGTCAGACACCCAGCTGACAAACAAAACAAAAATTTTAAAGCAAAAAGGCTGTTGGGCACAGGCCAAGACTGCAAGCCACTCGCCCCACTGTGTGGCACTGCACTGTCACTATTTATTATTGATCCTACATCCCTTTCATTTTTTTTCACAGCTCAGGGTACTTATCCGGGTCCCAGTTGAATGATTGTATTAATGTGGCCTCGATGGCAACTCAGAGGAGTCAATCCCACTTACTGGTACTGCAGATGTGTTGTTATAATCGCCATCTTACGTACGCTCTGTACAAATAAGGGAAACAAAGTTATTGAGACCAGGCCAGGCTGTACTCGAGGAAGGCAAGAGGAGAGTTGAGATGCCATCTCTTGGACCCATCAATTGCTTTCTTTACCAACGAAACTAAACCCCCAAATAACAGAGCGGATCGGGGTGGGGTATGTGGGGGGATATAATAATAATAATAATAATTCTTGCATTTGATATAGCGCTTTTCACGTCAGGAGGACGTCTCAAAGCGCTTCACAGAACACACTGTAAAGTGAATTGACTGTATATTTGTGGGCGAACGCGGCAGCCAATTGCGCACAGCAATGTCCTACAAACAGTCGTAGATTGAAAATTACCAATTTATTATTGTTTTTGGTTTTGGAGGGATTATTATTAGGCTCTGTGTGGAGTAAGGAAACTTGCCCAAGGTTTCGCCCTCTGCCTGGAATTGAACTCAGGTCTCTCGCTTGCAAAGCGAGTGCTCTAACCACTGAGCTACAGGACTCCTACAGGGATCTAGATTCTCTGGCTAACTGCTAGCCTTACATTTAATATTTAAAACAAATAAAATAAGTAAAAATAAATAAATGCTAAAATGAATATAAATAATAATAATCCTTGTACTTGATATAGCGTCGTCGGGACATCTCAAAGCGCTTCACAGGATACACTGTAAAGTGGAGTGACTGCATTTTGTACGCACATTTTTGCCACCTCTCTGCATGAAGAAATCTTTCCCAATCTCACATCTAACCATCCGAGCTCTTTAATTCAACACTTACCTCTTTGACAGCGTTGAAAGTCATCTCTCCTTCCCCCCGCCCTGTCCTGTTAATTCCTTTCCCTATTTTTACTGTCTTCTCCATCACCTAAACACCAACTCAACCTCAAACCAACAATAATAATTTGGTCACTCAATCCACAACTGTTTGTGGACACTGCTGTGCGCAATTGGCTGCCGCGTTTCACCCACAAACTATACAGTTAATTCATTTTACGTTATATCCTGTGAAGCACTTTGAGACGTCTCAACGATGTGACAATATAAATCACTGAATCATCAAATTATGCAGCACAGAAGGCCATTCAGCCCATTGTGTCTGTGCTGCTCTTTGAAGAGATCTTTCAAATCAACCCCACAAATCAAATCCCCCGCTCTCTCCCCATAGCCCTGATCAACCCCACTCCCCCGCTCTCTCCCCATAGCCCTGATCAACCCCACTCCCCCACTCTCCCCCCATAGCCCTGATCAACCCCACTCCCCCGCTCTCTCCCCATAGCCCTGATCAACCCCACTCCCCCGCTCTCTCCCCATAGCCCTGATCAACCCCACTCCCCCACTCTCTCCCCATAGCCCTGATCAACCCCACTCCCCCACTCTCTCCATAGCCCTGATCAACCCCACTCCCCCGCTCTCTCCCCATAGCCCTGATCAACCCCACTCCCCCGCTCTCTCCCCATAGCCCTGATCAACCCCACTCCCCCACTCTCTCCCCATAGCCCTGATCAACCCCACTCCCCCACTCTCTCCCCATAGCCCTGATCAACCCCACTCCCCCGCTCTCTCCCCATAGCCCTGATCAACCCCACTCCCCCGCTCTCTCCCCATAGCCCTGATCAACCCCACTCCCCCGCTCTCTCCCCATAGCCCTGATCAACCCCACTCCCCCACTCTCTCCCCATAGCCCTGATCAACCCCACTCCCCCGCTCTCTCCCCATAGCCCTGATTAACCCCACTCCCCCGCTCTCCCCCCATAGCCCTGATCAACCCCACTCCCCCGCTCTCTCCCCACAGCCCTGATCAACCCCACTCCCCCACTCTCCCCCCATAGCCCTGATCAACCCCACTCCCCCGCTCTCTCCCCATAGCCCTGATCAACCCCACTCCCCCGCTCTCTCCCCATAGCCCTGATCAACCCCACTCCCCCACTCTCTCCCCATAGCCCTGATCAACCCCACTCCCCCGCTCTCTCCCCATAGCCCTGATCAACCCCACTCCCCCACTCTCTCCCCATAGCCCTGATTAACCCCACTCCCCCGCTCTCCCCCCATAGCCCTGATCAACCCCACTCCCCCGCTCTCTCCCCATAGCCCTGATCAACCCCACTCCCCCGCTCTCTCCCCATAGCCCTGATCAACCCCACTCCCCCGCTCTCTCCCCACAGCCCTGATCAAACCCCACTCCCCCGCTCTCTCCCCACAGCCCTGATCAAACCCCACTCCCCCTGCTCTCTCCCCATAGCCCTGCAAAGTTGTCCTTTGATTTGGGATCAGGGAGGATGGAGGGGGCGGAGAGGGTGGATGTAGGAGGGTGGCCGAAGGCACGGTCGAAAGAGGAGAGTCTTGAGGGGTGCCTTGAAGGAGGCAAGGGAGGGAGCGAGGCGAATGGAGTGTGGGATGGAGTTCCTTGAGAATGTGGCGTGTGGCAGAGAGACTGAAGGCCCGACTGCCGATGGTGGGATGGGCCCGGGTGGGGGGGGGGGGGGGGGGGAAGTGGGGAGACCTGGAGCAGGCTAGTGCTGCTGAGTGGAGGGAGCAGACAGATTGATAAGGGGTTAGCAAGTCGGAGAGGTAGGAGGGGGCAAGGCCATGGTTGAAGGTGAGGACGAGAATTTTGAATTTGATCCTCTGGGGGATGGGAAGCCAGTGGAGCCGGCCGAAGGTGGTTGTGAGAGGGTCGCGGAGCCTGGTGCGGGAGAAGACATGAGCTGTAGAGATTTGGATGATCTGCAGCTTGTGGAGGGAAGAGTTGAGGAGGCTGACAAGCAGGAAGTTGGCATGATCAAGCCTGTTTGTAATGAAGGCATATATAAGGGTTTCAGCAGCCTGAAGGGTGAGGCAGTGGCGGAGTCGGGCAATGTTGTGGAGGTGGAGGAAGGCAGAGCAGCTCATGGCACGGACGTGGGGGAGAAAGGACAACTGAGGGTGAAGTGTACGTTTGTGATGCTGTCAGTGCCTGAGGTGAGGAGGCGCTGTCGGGAGCTAATCAGGAGCCTCGGTCTGGTTAACGCTCAACTGAAGAAAGTTATCTCTCATCCACAGGACTCGATGTCTGACAGACATTGTGTCAGGACAGCAGTGGGTCCTGGGGTCCAGGGTGGAGGCAGAGAGTTGAGTGCCATCTGCATACATGTGGGAGTGGACCCCATGTTTGCGGATGATGTCACTCAGAGGGAGCAGATAGATATGGCAGAGGAGGGGACCGAGGACCGAGGACAGAGCCCTGAGGAACGATGGAACACAAGATGCTGCATCAATAATGCAAGGATTACTGTTATTGAACATCAATGAGGCCATGAAATACTGACATCTTCAGCGTGCAGTATGGCGTCCTCCTGCAGGACCATGTTGCGAGCTGCCTGGCCGAGGAGCTGAGAGCACAAGTCAGAATGATTATTATTATTACCATTATTGAAATTAAAATGAATCATTCTTAGTTGATACACAGCTGCTTCCATATCAGGAGGGCTACCAAAAGCACTGACAGGGTTACGTTTGCCCATAAAACACGCAGTGACTCTACCTTGACAGGTAAAGTGGAGTGACTGTGTAATCGGTGGGAAAAGGCAGCAGTCAATTTGCACACAGCAACATCCCAACCCTGGAGCAGGTCACCAGCTGCAGAGCCACGGCCACCAGTGCAGACCCTTCACTGACCAGAAACACCTCCAACTGTCTGCCCAACACCCACTGACACACTCACACTGACACTCACACTGACACTCACCGACACACTCACACTGACACACTCACACTGACACACTCACACTGACACTCACACTGACACTCACCGACACACTCACACTGACACACTCACACTGACACTCACACTGACACTCACACCGACACTCACCGACACACTCACACTGACACTCCGACACACTCACACTGACACTGACACTGACACTCACACTGACACTCACACTGACACTCACACTGACACTCACACTGACACTCACACTGACACTCACACTGACACACTCACACTGACACACTCACACTGACACTCACCGACACACTCACACTGACACTCACACTGACACACTCACACTGACACTCACACTGACACACTCACACTGACACTCACCGACACACTCACACTGACACTCACACTGACACTCACACTGACACTCACACCGACACTCACCGACACACTCACACTGACACTCCGACACACTCACACTGACACTCACACTGACACACTCACACTGACACTCACACTGACACTCACACTGACACTCACACTGACACACTCACACTGACACACTCACACTGACACACTCACACTGACACACTCACACTCACACTGACACACTCACACTGACACTCACACTGACACACTCACACTGACACTCACACTGACACACTCACACTGACACTCACACTGACACACTCACACTGACACACTCACACTGACACACTCACACTGACACTCACACTGACACACTCACACTGACACACTCACACTGACACTCACACTGACACACTCACACTGACACACACATACTGACACTCACACTGACACACTCACACTGACACACTCACACTGACACTCACACTGACACACTCACACTGACACTCACACTGACACACTCACACTCACACACTGACACTGACACACTCCCACTGACACTCACACTGACACACTCACTGACACACTGACACTGACACACTCACACTGACACACTCACACTGACACTCACACTCACACTGACACACTCACACTGACACTCACACCAACACACTCACACTGACACACACTGACACACTCACACTGACACTCACACTGACACTCACACTGACACACTCACACTGACACACACTGACACACTCACACTGACACACTCACACTGACACACTCACACTGACACACTCACACTGACACACTGACACTGACACACTCACACTGACACTCACACTGACACACTCACACTGACACACTCACACTGACACACTCACACTGACACACTCACACTGACACTCACACTGACACTCACACTGACACTCACACTGACACACTCACACTGACACACTCACACTGACACACTCACACTGACACTCACACTGACACACTCACACTGACACACTCACACTGACACACTCACACTGACACACACTCACACACTCACACTGACACACTCTGACACACTCACACTGACATACTCTGACACTCACACTGACACACTCACACTGAAACTGACACACTCACACTGACACTCACACTGACACTCACACTGACACTCACCGACACACTCACACTGACACTCCGACACACTCACACTGACACTCACACTGACACTGACACTGACACTCACACTGACACTCACACTGACACTCACACTGACACTCACACTGACACTCACACCGACACTCACCGACACACTCACACTGACACTCCGACACACTCACACTGACACTCACACTGACACACTCACACTGACACTCACACTGACACTCACACTGACACTCACACTGACACACTCACACTGACACTCACACTGACACACTCACACTGACACACTCACACTGACACACTCACACTGACACACTCACACTGACACTCACCGACACACTCACACTGACACTCACACTGACACACTCACACTGACACTCACACTGACACACTCACACTGACACTCACACTGACACACTCACACTGACACACTCACACTGACACACTCACACTGGCACACTCACACTGACACACTCACACTGACACACTCACACTGACACTCACACTGACACACTCACACTGACACACACATACTGACACTCACACTGACACACTCACACTGACACACTCACACTGACACTCACACTGACACACTCACACTGACACTCACACTGACACACTCACACTCACACACTGACACTGACACACTCCCACTGACACTCACACTGACACACTCACTGACACACTGACACTGACACACTCACACTGACACACTCACACTGACACTCACACTCACACTGACACACTCACACTGACACTCACACCAACACACTCACACTGACACACACTGACACACTCACACTGACACTCACACTGACACTCACACTGACACTCACACTGACACACTCACACTGACACACACTGACACACTCACACTGACACACTCACACTGACAAACTCACACTGACACACTGACACACTGACACACTCACACTGACACACTCACACTGACACTCACACCGACACACTCACACTGACACACACTGACACACTCACACTGACACACTCACACTGACACACTCACACTGACACTCACACTGACACTCACACTGACACACTCACACTGACACACTCACACTGACACACTCACACTGACACACTCACACTGACACACTCACACTGACACACTCACACTGACACTCACACTGACACACTCACACTGACACACTCACACTGACACACTCACACTGACACACACTCACACACTCACACTGACACACTCTGACACACTCACACTGACATACTCTGACACTCACACTGACACACTCACACTGAAACTGACACACTCACACTGACACTCACTCTGACACACTCACACTAACACTCACATTGACACACTCACACTGACACTGACACACTCACACTGACACACTGACACACTCACAGACACACACTGACACACTCACACTGACACTCACTCTGACACACTCACACTGACAAACTGACACTGACACACTCACACTGACACACACTGACACACTCACACACTCTGACACACTCACACTGACAAACTCACACTGACACACACTGACACTCACACACTGACACACACACACTCACACACACTCACACTGACACACACTGACACTCACACACTGACACACACACTGACACACATACACTGACACACACACACACTCACACACTGACACTCACACACTGACACACACTGACACACAAACACACACACACTGACACTCACACACTGACACACACACACTCACACACACACACTCACACACACACTCACACACACTGACACTGACATACTCTGACACACTCACACTGACACACTCACACTGAAACTGACACACTCACACTGACACTCACACTGACACTGACACACTCACACTGACACACACTGACACACTCACATTGACACACACTGACACACTCACACTGACACACACTGACACTCACACACTGACACACACACACTCACACACACTCACACTGACACACACTGACACTCACACACTGACACACACACACACTCACACTGACACACACTGACACACACACACACTCACACACACTCACACACTCACACTGACCCACACTGACACTCACACACTGACACTCACACACTGACACACACACACTGACACACACTGACACTCACACAGACTCACACTGACACACACTGACACTCACACTGACATATTCTGACACACTCACACTGACACACTCACACTGACACTCACTCTGACACACTCACACTGACACTCACTCTGACACACTCACACTGACACTCACATTGACACACTCACACTGACACACACTGACACACTCACACTGACACACACTGACACACTCACACTGACACACTCTGACAAACTCACACTGACACTCACACTGACAAACCGACACTGACACACTCACACTGACACACACTGACACACTCACACTGACACACTCTGACACACTCACACTGACAAACTCACACTGACACACTGACACTCACACACTGACACACACACACTCACACTCACACACTGACACTCACACACTGACACACACTGACACACAACCACTCACACACTGACACTCACACACTGACACACACACACTCACACACACACACTGACACACACACTCACACACACTCACACTGACATACTCTGACACACTCACACTGACACACTCACACTGAAACTGACACACTCACACTGACACTCACACTGACACTGACACACTCACACTGACACACACTGACACACTCACATTGACACACACTGACACACTCACACTGACACACTGACACTCAACACACTGACACATACACACACTCACACACACTCACACTGACACACACTGACACAAACTGACACTCACACACTGACACACACTGACACACACACACACTCACAGACACTCACACTGACACACACTGACACTCACACACTGACACTCACACACTGACACACACTGACACTCACACACACTCACACTGACACACACTGACACGCACACTGACACACACACACTCACACACACTCACACTGACACACACTGACACTGACACACTGACACTCACACACTGACACTCACACACTGACACACACACACTCACACACTGACACACACACACACTCACAGACACTCACACTGACACACACTGACACTCACACACTGACACTCACACACTGACACACACTGACACTCACACACACTCACACTGACACACACTGACACGCACACTGACACACACACACTCACACACACTCACACTGACACACACTGACACTGACACACTGACACTCACACACTGACACTCACACACTGACACACACACACTCACACACACTCACACTGACACACACTGACACTGACACACTGACACTCACACACTGACACTCACACACTGACACACACACACTCACACACACTCACACTGACACACACTGACACTTACACACTGACACACACACTCACACTGACACACACTGACACTCACACACTGACACACACACACACACTGACACACACACACTCACACTGACACACACTGACACTGACACACTGACACTCACACACTGACACTCACACACTGACACACACACACTCACACACACTCACACTGACATACACTGACACTCACACACTGACACACACACACACTCACACTGACACTCACTCTGACACACTCACACTGACACTCACTCTGACACACTCACACTGACACTCACATTGACACACTCACACTGACACACACTGACACACTCACACTGACACACACTGACACACTCACACTGACACACTCTGACAAACTCACACTGACACTCACACTGACAAACCAACACTGACACACTCACACTGACACTCACACACTGACACACTCACACTGACACACTCTGACACACTCACACTGACAAACTCACACTGACACACTGACACTCACACACTGACACACACACTCACACTCACACACTGACACTCACACACTGACACACACTGACACACAACCACTCACACACTGACACTCACACACTGACACACACACACTCACACACACACACTGACACACACACTCACACACACTCACACTGACATACTCTGACACACTCACACTGACACACTCACACTGAAACTGACACACTCACACTGACACTCACACTGACACTGACACACTCACACTGACACACACTGACACACTCACATTGACACACACTGACACACTCACACTGACACACTGACACTCAACACACTGACACATACACACACTCACACACACTCACACTGACACACACTGACACAAACTGACACTCACACACTGACACACACTGACACACACACACACTCACAGACACTCACACTGACACACACTGACACTCACACACTGACACTCACACACTGACACACACTGACACTCACACACACTCACACTGACACACACTGACACGCACACTGACACACACACACTCACACACACTCACACTGACACACACTGACACTTACACACTGACACACACACTCACACTGACACACACTGACACTCACACACTGACACACACACACACACTGACACACACACACACTCACACTGACACACACTGACACTGACACACTGACACTCACACACTGACACTCACACACTGACACACACACACTCACACACACTCACACTGACATACACTGACACTCACACACTGACACACACACACACTGACACACACACACACTCACACTGACACACACTGACACTCGCACACTGACACACACACACTGACACACACACACACATTCACACACTGACACACACACACTGACACACTCTGACACACTCGCAGTGACACACTCGCTGACACTCACACTGACACACACTGACACACTCGCACTGACACACTCGCTGACACCGGAGGTTCCGGCTGTGTGTTTGTGTGCGGGTGTTTGCTGCCCCCCCGTCCCCCCCCCGTCCCCCCGCCCCCCCGGTCCCCCTGTCCCCCCCGCCCCCCCCCGCCCCCCCCCGGTACCTCACAGCTCCGGGAGCCCTTCAGGATCTGTCTGGTCAGCGCGATGACGTCAGTGGTGCAGGTGGAGACTTTGTCGGACAACAAACCCTTCACTGACTGACCATAGCGCGCCTGCGGGTCAGCCGCCATCTTGGCTCGGCCTTCAGCTACTGCGCATGCTCAGCGCCGACAGCGGGGCGGGGCTGTGAGGGCGGGGCTCAGTGTGGGCGGGGCTCGGGGCGGGCGGGGCTCGGTGTGGGGCGGGGCTCGGTGTGGGCGGGGCTCGGGGTGGGCGGGGCTCGGTGTGGGGCGGGGCTCGGTGTGGGGTGGGGCTCGGGGCGGGCGGGGCTCGGTGGGGGCGGGGCTCGGGGCGGGGCGGGGCTCGGGCGGGCGGGGCTCGGTGTGGGGCGGGCGGGGCTCGGTGGGCGGGCGGGGCTCGGTGTGGGGCGGGCGGGGCTCGGTGGGGCGGGCGGGGCTCGGTGTGGGGCGGGCGGGGCTCGGTGTGGGGCGGGCGGGGCTCGGTGTGGGCGGGCGGGGCTCGGGGCGGGCGGGGCTCGGTGGGGCGGGGCTCGGTGCGGGGCGGGGCTCGGGGCGGGCGGGGCTCGGTGTGGGGCGGGCGGGGCTCGGTGTGGGCGGGCGGGGCTCGGTGGGGCGGGCGGGGCTCGGTGTGGGGCGGGCGGGGCTCGGTGTGGGACGGACGGGGCTCGGGGCGGGCGGGGCTCGGGCGGGCGGGGCTCGGGCGGGTGGGGCTCGGGGCGGGTGGGGCTCGGGGCGGGCGGACTCGGAGTGGGGTGGGGCTCGGGGCGGGCGGGGCTCGGGGCGGGCGGGGCTCGGGGCGGGCGGGGCTCGGGGCGGGCGGGGCTCGGGGCGTGTGCTTTGCTCCGGCTCCCGGTCCCTGGTGCTCTCCAGCTGTCTGGGGGTCGGGGTCGGGGTGAGTGTGACCTTCCTGCAGCTGAACACGGACAGCGTGGAAGCCATACTCCTCGGCTCCCGGCAATGTCTTCCCTCCGCACATCTTTTTATATTGTTGTATGGTTTGTGGGACACTGTTGTGTGCAATTGGCTGTTGTGTTTCATCCAGAAATCACACAGTCATTCTGTGAAGGGCTTTGAGACATCTCAGCAACATGATACGGCATATATCAAAAGCAAGGATTATTATTAATCTCTGCAAAAGTTTAGGCTCAGGTTAATAATAATAATAATAATAATTGCTGTGCGCAATTGGCTGCCGCGTTCACCCACAAATATACAGTTAATTCACTTTACAGTATATTCTGTGAAGCGCTGTGGGACGTCTGGAAGACGTGAAAAGCGCTATATCAAATGCAAGGATTATTATTATTATTAAGAGAGGGAGGCAGCGCACATTCCAGTCCTGGCTGATAATCCCCCAGATAAGATTGGTCACATTCCATGGTTGTTTGTAGGACATTGTGTTGAAGTGGTTTGAGATGTCCTCCCAATTGAAAGGCGTATCAAATGTAAGGATTATTATCAAATGTGAAATGTTTGCATTCTCTTCGGTTTGGTGTGGGGTTTCAGCAGTTGTGCTTGGTTTTGGGGCCCTGCTCCCCCAGTGGCATTGTTTCATGTGGGCTTTCTGACATTCCTATTTTCTTGGTTCCCACATCGCCTGTTTGATGAGTCATTTGCAAATTTCACAGCCTGTGCTTTGCTGCAGGTCATAAGAGCAGTTCAAGGTTCTATCAACCCTTTAAGAGTCCCCTCTTTCACTCCACTTCAGAAGCCTCACGCAGATTACTGAAGCGGTGATTCAGGGTGAGGGGAAGATGAGTCTTGTTGTGGCTGCTGTGATTCTCATTCTTGGTTTTGTGGTCTTATCCATCAATAGAGTTGGACTCATCCAGAGAAAACTCAAAGGCACCAAGCTCCCCGCCAGCCTGCCCACCCTGCCATTGATCGGAAGCCTCCTGAGTCTGTGGAGTGACGACCAGCCTCATATCCTCTTCCAGAAGCTGCAGAAGAAATATGGGGAGATTTATTCCTTGATGCTGGGCTCACACTATGTGGTGGTGGTCAACAACTACCAACACGCCAAAGAGGTGCTGCTTAAAAAGGGCAAGATCTTTGGTGGGAGACCCAAGTCGGTAAGATTTTTAGCTTTTCAACAAAAACAAAAACACCAAATTGGAGTCCCGTAGCCTATTGCCTATTGCCTAGAGCACTCGACTCACAAGCAAGAGGACTCTAGTTTGATCCCCGGGCAGGGCAAAACATTAGGCAAATTTCCTTACTCCACACGCCTCTGTTATACTTGTTATACCTGTTATACCTTTGTTTACTCAATCCACGACCGTTTATGGTACTCTGCTGTGCACAGTTGGCTGCCACGTTTTGCCCACAAAAATACAGCCACTCCACTTTGTGTTATATTCTGTGAAGCGTTTTGAGACTTCTCAAGGATGTGATAAGGCGCTATATCAAAATGCGAGGATTATTATTATTATTCAATTGCATTTACGCAGCACCCTTTCATGTCGGGAGGAGGTCCCGAGGTGCTGAATGGTGTTTAACGGCACAATGTCACAGATCGAAGGATAAAGCCTCCGACTCGCTTCAAGTCTTAAACAAGAATATATTTGACACAAAATGCAAAGCTGGAAATCTGCCTGAAACATTAGCTCATTTTCCTATCTCCATGGATGCTGCATCCTGCGTGTTCCCAGCAGCTTCTGTGGTTATATAATACATTTGACATATGAGCCTTTCTTGCTCAGACAAAGACAGTCTCAAAGCGTTTTTACAGGATTTGTAATTAAGGTGCAACCATTGTGTATTTTATTGGCAAAAGCAGCTGTTGGCCAGGACACCGAGAGAGAAACTCTCTTCTCTTTTCCCTATAGCACGCAGGATATTCGTTATCTGCATAAACAGGGTACTGATTTGGTCTCGGGATAATATCTCGTTATGATAAACACCACCACATTCCTCTCCACACTGTCCTGGATTTCAGCCTGGACCATCAGCTTAAAGTCCCCGATGTGGGGAGAGAACCCACGATCTACAAGAGTGCAACCGACGGTGTCAGGCTGACAAGACCCCACACTTGTGGGGTAGGGACTTTTTTTCGAAACATTGTCTGGTTTGTCATTTATTTACTGCACCGTCAACACCACTTCAAGATTATGTCGCCCACAAAACACACAGCGCTCTTTTGTGAAATAGTCACTGCTTTTTACCATAAATCTTGTGCTACGCTTTTAAAAAATTGCAAGATTATTACATTTGACATTGCCAGCCCGGCTAAATGGATAGTGCTCACATCTCTGGCTTAAGAGGCTGTGGGTTCAAGCCCTAAATTGGGACCTGAAATTAAATCATCTAAACTGACACTCCAATGCAATGCGGGGGTTGCATTGCGGGAGATGCCGTCCTGTGGATGAGACATTAACCCGAGGTCCCGTCTTCTGTTCAGGTGGATGTTAAAGATCCCGAGGTGCTATTTGAAAAGAGAAGAGAATTTCTCTCTCCCAGTGTCCTGGCCAACATCTCCCAAGTAAAATTGATCATTTTCTTCATGGCTGCTTGTGGGACATGGCTGCCATATTTCTAACAAAATTAATTAATTTGCTGCAGATCCTTTCGCAAAGTAAGAGATTTGTAAAAGACTAGGTTTTTGTTCCGCCGGGGCATGATTGAAGAAGAATGTTGCTTTAAATTCTCAGCAGCTGCCAGACAGACTGACCAAGGTCAGAGAGGCTGTTTCAGAGAGAAATATTCAGAATAACAATTCCGTTCCTTACATTTGATAAATCAGGAGGAGGTCAAAGCGCTTTACAGGATTTATTGTCAAGTGTAGTGACTGTGTAATTTATGAAGTGAACCCGGCAGCCAATTTGCCCACAACACCGTCCCCACAAACAGCCATGAAGTAAATGACAATTCTATCCGGGGATTGTTAGCCATGAAACCGTCTTCCGTCTTATGTCTAAACAGGCACAGAAGGGACCTCAGTTTAACGTCTCATCGAAAGGACAGCACCTCTGACAATGCAGCATCCCCCAGCACTGCATTTGAGCATCAGCCTAGATTGTGAGCTCAAAGTGTTAAAATGGGGGCTTGAAACCATAACAATAGAGACTGGGTGAGCCAGATTGACAATGCACATAACAATAATAATAATTAAAATCCTTGCATTTGACACAGCGCCTTATTATGTCTTCAAGACTGCTATGAACTGCTATATAGCAGTTCATAGAATATACTGTAAAATGAATTTGTGGGTAAAACGCGGCAGCCAATTACGCACAGCAGTGTCCCACAAACTGTCGTGGATTGAGTGACCAAATTATTATTAGTAGTATTTTTTTGCCAATCAACTAACAACTGGGTTCCTACTTACTGCTACATAAACACATGTGTGTGGAGTAAGGAAACTTGTGTAAAGTTTCGCCCTGTCCTGGAAATGAAACCAGTGCTCTAATCAGTACGCTACAGGTCATCCTATAATCAAGTGAAAGTAATTTATTTATCCTCTTTCTCTCTCGCTCTCTCGTCCTCAGGTAACCACAGACTTGCTCTCCAGAGATGGGAAGGACATTGCATTTGCCACTTACAGTCCAACCTGGAGATTTCACAGGAAGCTGGTCCACTCTGCGCTCTGTATGTTTGGTGAAGGGACGTCCTCCATTGAGAAGATCAGTAAGAGGTCTTTTTGTGTTGGTCGTCTGTCTGACACCTGCGGAAACTCAGCAGCAGGTTATCAAAGCAGTCAGGCTTTCAGCCTTTCTGCCCCGCTCACTGAAACTCCATCCCACTCATTAAACTCCATCCCCCCATCACCCCAGCCCTCGCCAGACTCCACTGGCTCCCTATCATCCCCACTAAACCCCGTCCCCCCATCACCCCAGCTCTCTCCACTGGCTCCCTATCACTGAACAGACCAATTTCAACATCTTCACACTCGTCTTCAAATCCCTTCCTGCCCTGGCACCTCGCTACCTCTCTGACCTGCTTACTCTCCATTGCCTCCGCTCGCCTGGCTCCAGCCTCCTAATTGTCCCTTGTCCCCTCTGTTCTACCATCAGTGGTCGCACTTTCAGCACTATGCGCCGAAACTCTGGAACTCTCCCCCTCAATCCTCAATCGTGTGTTTTTGTTGATCTTGCCCCCACAGTTTGCGATCAGGCAACCTCCATGTGCCTCAACTTCCAAAGTCTCCTGGACTCCCCCATGGACCCGAGCCAGGATCTGATCCACGCTGTCACCAACGTGGTGTGTACCCTCTGCTTCAACTCCTCCTACAAAAGGAACGACCCTGAGTTCCTGACCATGCTCAACTACAGCAAAGGCATTGTGGACACAGTGGCCAAGGACAGCCTAGTGGACATCTTCCCCTGGCTACAGGTACCTACAACAACAACAACTTGCATTTACATAGCACCCCTCACACAAGGTAGTGTCCCACAGCTCATTTAGCCGTGGCAGAGCACAAAGCCAAGTTGGGGGGAGATGACTGTAGGCATGGTTGAAGACACTGCAGATGTAATCTGAAGATGGGGAACGAAGGGGCAAGGTGGAGGGATGGAGGAAGAGAGTTCCAGAGTTTTGGGGCGTGGTGGCTGAAAGTGCGGCCACCGATGGTGGAACGGAAGGTGCGAGAGACAAGCAGGAGGCTGGAGCCAGTTGAGCGGAAGCAACGAATAGTTAATTGGGGGTTAAGCAGGTTGGAGAGGTAGGAGGGTGCCAGGCCGGCCATAAAGTGATTTAAAAACTAGTATGAGGATCTTGAAATTGATCCATTCGGTGATTGGGAGCCAGTGGAGCCTGATCTGTATAAATAGTACAATCACCAAAGTCGTACATTTGCCCAAAGTCCCATTGAATTTCCTATTATTTATAAATTTGGCACAACTCGTACTTTACATGAGTCATATTAAATGTGTGATCCCAACTGATACAATGTGTGCGAGGGTTACTGTAATAATCCTTACATTAATAATCCTAAATCAAATGACTTAGTGCCCTATTATGTCGTCGAGGTGTCTTATAGCGCTTCACAGAATATATTGTAAAGTGGATTGACTGTGTATTTTGTGGCCGAAATGTGGCAGCCAATTGTGCAGAGCAGCGTCCCACAAACAGTTGGAGTTTGAATGGCCAAATTATTTATGTGCTTAGTTGCAGCTTTGCTTCTAACCAAAGGATCCAATATGGAATGCAGATTGACAAACAGACAGACATTTCATCTTTATCTACACTCCTGTGGGAGGACTCCTGTTGGAGGACTCATTTTGGCCGTACTGTTCTTTGAGTCGGCTACTCATTTTGGCGCACTGTTGCAGTCCTTTCAGCATTGAAGTGCAGCCGCGCTGTTCTTTCTTCTTCAGTTTAATTTAATGAAACTCTTCTGTCGAGTAATTTTACTTGTCCTTGAAATGTTTGATTTTCGTTTAGGCATTTTTATAATGATCAATATAAATATATAATTTATAATCACTGGGACGTCCTCCCGACGTGAAAGGCGCTTTAAAAATGTAATTTTGTTGTTGTTGCCGCGGCTTAGCTTCATCCGTGCTCTTTATTTTGTTCCTGCTGTTCGCCTACAGCACAGCACCACTTTGACTCGGCGGCCACCAGTAACTGCAGCAAAAGACGCAAAACTGAAATACATTTTAGGTCATAACTCATGAACGATAGGAGATACCCAAAAACAAGTCTGCCCATGTCACTCCAAGACCTTTCCGATGAGGTATAAATTTTATCAACAGGAACGTCAATTGGTTATTGAGATCCTTCTTGAAGCATAGACAGACAGACAAACATTGTTATAGTATAAGTGTGCGTATGTATTTATTTGAAGGGATTTTTACCCCCAGAAAGCGACCACCAATCAAATAATAACCAGCTTCCTACTTACTGCTATGTAAACAGAGTATGTGGAGTAACAAAACTTGCATAAGCTATTGCCCTGTCTGGGAATCGAACCTGGGTGCTCTCGCTTGCGAGGTGAGCGCACTAAATACCGTGCTATGGGACTCTGATAGCGTAATGGTTATCGCGCACGCCTCGCAAGGGAGATCTCCCAGGTTCAATTCCCGGGTGGGGTGAAACATTAGGCAAGTTTCCTTACTCCACTGAATTCAATTGTGACTGGGCAGTGAATAGGAATGGGAACTCTGGTTGAGGCTGAACACAGATTTATTTGAGGAACAGCTGGAAGGGAAGATGTTGGGGTGGTGGGATTTCTGGAGAACGAGATCAAGGTAGGCCTTCCTCATCTCCTCGACCCCCTCGGTTACCCTGCCTCACACAGCATGTCCATTACTTTTTCTCCAGATTTTCCCCAACAAAGACCTTGATAAACTGAAACAATGCATCGTGATGAGAGATAAAATCCTGCACAAGAAGTTTCAGGAACACAAGGTGAGTGACAATCACATCTCCCCAGCCATAGCGTGTCAGAGCTGACAGGCAGCCACTGTGCCCCGAAATTCTGGAACAATCTCCCTCAACCCCTCCACTTTACCCCATCATCAGGTTGCACCTGAAGGCTTTCCCCTTCGCCCGTGCCTATGGTCACCTCCCCCTCCCCCCTGGCTTGGGTCGTACTCCGCCACTGTCAAGTGCTCTGGGATGCCGCCCTGCATGAGGGGCGCCGTGTAAGTGCAGGTTGTTGTTTATGCCCCTGATGTTGAGATAATTCAGCACCTTGCCTACCTCAGCATTACGTCCCTGATTTCTCTCCCAGGAAAATTACACCGATAACTCTACCAATGATCTGCTGGATGCGTTGCTCACAGCCAAGATGAACGCAGAAAACAACAACAGTCTGTCTCAGGGAGCCGGGATGACAGACGATCATCTCCAAATGACTGTGGCCGATATCTTCGGGGCTGGAGTGGAAACCACCAGCACCGTCCTGAGGTGGATTTGGGCTTATCTCATCCACAACCCTGAGGTAAGGCTACTTCGATCAATGTCAAGCTATGTGGGTTTAGCCAGTTAGACTCCAGCAGTTACCCCAACACAAACTCTGGGTTACCCCCAAGCCTTGGCTCTTGCCAACCTGCGCCTATTACTCTCTGGAATTAGGTAAGCAGGATGCATCCCTCAGGGAGAGAGAGAGCGCATTACAATCCAACAATTTATCTCTGGGATTTCCATGTGTAGGTGGGAGTTTCTTTCTCCTGGTGTCCTGGCAATCAACTACCCCAAAATAAAATTGGTCACCCACTGCATGGCTGTATGCGGAAACATTGCTGTGTGCAAACTGGCTGCTGCGTTTCGCCCACACAATACAGTCACTACACTTTACAGTATATACTGTGAAGTGCTTTGAGACATCTCAATAACATGGTAAAGTGCTGTATCAAATGCAACGATTATTAATTATTATGATTATTATTGTTATATTATTTCTTCTCTTGTTTTCTCTCATTTCCTCCCTTTGGGCTGTCCATCACCACAGGTGCCATCCTTCAAATGAGACAGTGAGATTGAGCTGCCAGTGTAAGCCAGGACACTGGGACTCTGTGATGGGAGTTGGGGGTATTCTGGAAGGAATGAGATAAAATGTTTCTCTGACTATGATTTCACCACAAAATATACAGTCAATCCGCTTTATCCTGTGAAGCGCTTTGAGATGTTTCAGTGATGTGATGATAATAATAATAATAATAAATCTTGCATTTGATATAGCATCATCACATCTTCAAGAAGGCAAAGCGCTTCACAGAATATACTGTAAAGTGAATTAACTGTATATTTGGTGGGCAAAATGTGGCAGCCAATTGCACACAACAGTGTCCCACAAACAGGTGTGGATTAAGTGACCAAATTATTATTCTTATTTACTTCTTGAAGGGATTGTTACCCCTGGAAAAGTGATCCGCCAACCAACTAAGAACCGGGTTACTACTTACTGCTAGATAAACAGAGGCGTGCGGAGTAAGGAAACTTGCCCAACATTTCACTCTGCCTGGTAATCGAATCCAGGTCTCTCACTGTGAGGAGAGTGCTCTAACCACTAAACTATAGGACTCTACGATTAGGATACCATATCAATGCAAGGATTATTATTACTATTATTACGATTATATTTCTTCCTAGAACTCTCCCTGTTGTCTTTTGGTTGCTGTTCAGCTTGTGCCTTTCAACTATTCAGATTTGCCTACAAAACAGTCACTACATATCATAGTAAAAACCTGTGAAGCGCTTTGAGACACTCCTGAGGTAAAAGGAGTTTTATCAAATTCAAGGATTATTAAAATTATTAATCCTTGCATTTGATATAGTGCCATGTCAATTCATCGAGATGCCTCACAACGCTTTGCAGGTTATACTGTAAAGTGTAGTGACTGTGGTTTTATTATTGTTCAGAAGAGGACTGCACATTTGGATCCTTTCTTTGATTTGGGCTTTTCCTTTGCAAAGCCATCCCACCATCCCTTTACCTCGTCCCCTCCACCACCCCCTTGCCTCCTTCAAGGCCTGTCTCAAAATCCTGCTCTTCGACCTCGCCTTTGGTCACCTTCCTATCCCCACCCTCCCTGACCCTCCCACCCCTGATCCCAACCACCAGCTCGGGCCCAAATCCTCTCGACCTGAGAGGCGCTGTGTAAAAGTAATTTGTTGTTGCTGTTTTAGGTGCAGAAAAGAATACACGAGGAGATGGACAACAAGATTGGATTTGATAGGCTGCCGAAATTGAATGATAAAAGCAGCTTGCCCTACCTCAACGCAACCATCAGTGAAGTCCTCCGCATTCAGCCAGTGGCACCTCTTTTAATACCACATGTGGCTTTAGCAGACAGCAGGTAAGTCCTGCTGACACAAGAGATATTTCATGCTTTCAGTCTATCTAGCAAATCCACATGTAGAGAAGTGGTTAGAGCAAGCGAGAAGACCCAGGTTCAATTTCAAGGTGGGTTGAAACCTTGGCAAGTTTCCTCACTCCACACACATGTCTCTGTTTAGCTAGAAAGTTGTTGGGATTTACTATGAAGTGGAGTGACTGTGTATTTTGTAGGTGAACCCAGCAGCCAATATATACATGGCAGGATCCCGCAGACAGCCATGGAATGAGTGACCCAATTTTATTTGGGGATTGTTGGCCTGGACTCTGGGAGAGAGAAACGCTCTGTTCTTTTCGTATACACTGCTGGATCTTCAACAGGCAGACGGAACCTCGGTTTAATGCCAAATCTGTAGATGGCACCTCCAACAATGCAACATCCCCCCTAGTGCTGCATTGGAGCGTCAGCTTAGACTATGTGGCAATAAGGGACAGCGGCAATATCCCTTTCAAATCAGGACGTCCCAAAGTGCTGGACAGTTAAGGATTTGGACCCGAGCTGGAGGTTGGGATCAGGAAAGGGGTAGGGCAGGGGTAGGGATAAGGTGGGGCAGGAGTAGGAGCATGATCGAAGGCACAATCGAAGAGGAAGGTCTTGAGTCAGACATTTTATATAAAAACTTGATAATAAACCCATAATTTGATCCTCTCAGCATTGGTGACTGGACTATTCCTAAGGGAACTCGCGTCATCATCAACCTGTGGTCTGTGCACCACGATGAACAAGAATGGAAGAACCCAGCAACCTTTGATCCTGGTAAGAACGTCTCCTCTGCTGCCCTCTTCACTATCAATAGCCAAGCCATCAGCCACCCTGCCACTAACCTCCAGCTGCCTGTCTTAAGTCCTCCCCTTTTTGCCTCCTCCATCTTTAAATCCCATTTGAAAACTTTCATCTCACACCTGGGTGGCTACAAAAACCTACCTTGTTGACTGGGGAAACTCCCTTCTTTTTTTGAGCATGCCACAGGATCTTTAACGCCGCACAAGTGGGACCTCGGGTTAATGTCTCATCCAAAGGATGGCGTCTCTGATAATTTAGCGCTCCCCCCAAAGCACTGCGCTGGAGTGCCAGCCCAGACCATGAGTTGCCCAACGTGCGGCTTGAACCATATAATCTTTGCATCTGACATATGGAGAGGGAAGATAATAATAATCCTTGCATTTGATATAGCGCCTTATCACACCGTTGAGAAGCCTCAAAGCGCTTCACAGAATATAGTGTAAAGTGAATTGACTGTTTATTTTGTGGGTGAAACGCAGCAGCCAATTGCGCACAGCAGCGTCCCACAAACTGTCGAGGATTGCGTGACCAAATGTTCCTTTTTTGTTTTCGGAGGGCTTATTACCCGGAAAGCCATCCGTCAATCGACTAACAAGTGGGTTCCTACTTATTGCTAGATAAACAGAGGCGTGTGTGTGGAGTAATGAAAATTTGCCTAAGGTTGCTCTCCTTTAAGCGTCTGGAATTGTAAATGTTATTGTTTTCCAGGTCGGTTTCTGGATGAAGATGGGAACCACATTTACTCGCCCTCTGGGAGCTACCTTCCCTTTGGAGCTGGGGTCAGAGTTTGCCTGGGAGAGGCCTTGGCTAAGATGGAAATATTCCTCTTCATGGCCTGGATTCTCCAGCGTTTCACTATAGAGTGTCCGGAGGGTCAGCCGCTGCCCAGTTTAAGTGGCAAGTTCGGGGTCGTGTTGCAGCCCAAGAAGTTCATGGCCCAACTGAGACCCAGGACAGCCTGGCAGAAACTAGGGCAGAGCAATTAAAAGAGCAATGTGCCTTCCGTGAGCCCATGGGTTTGGGACAGGAACATCATTAACTTCAATGAGACCGATAAAGTTAACGCTTATTCCAGCTAAATATCTAGTAACTATTGTGTTGTGTAACAACTGTTGTGGTGAGTACATGGCAGTGGCTTTATTATCTTCCAAACACTAGGGTGGGTTGAACATTTGACCAGATTGTACCTCCCAAACACTGCTAAGTGTATGTTGCATGACCCAGTATATGTTTTAATGAATGTTCGCTATATGTTGTGCACGGCTTCCTGGAAAGCAAAGTATATAAAAAACACACGCAATCACCAATGACATAATTAGCTTCGGAGTGAAAAGTCTAGAAAGTCTAAGTGGGTTAGCAATCCTGAGAATTTCAAATCACACCATTTCCTTCAGGACAGGAATCAATCTTTCCTCCCTCCAGGGATGGGGGGAATTATTTTTTCATTGGATGAATCCCAGGAATCTTGGAGCAATCAGCAAGGGTGGGAATTAGATGGGAAAGTGATGGGGAAGGAAGGGATATTGGGGATCCAGGTTGGACCGAGGCAGGTATATTGCGGTATTTCAAGAATAAATCGTGCTCTCAATGCCAATCTGTGTGGTCTCAGCTGGTTAAACTCAACAACAACTTGCATTTACACAATACCCTTCACGCAGACGCAGGCAGAGCGCTTAAACAGTGACACTGAGGCGGGGAGACAGAGGAGGTGACCGTAAGGACTGTCGAAGAGGAAGGTCTTCAGTCGTAATCTAAAACAACAACAAAATTACATTTATGGAGCGCCCCGGGAGGACGTCCCAAGGAGTTGGACAGTCAGGAGTCGGGACCCGAGCATGGTGGGTAGGGGTGAGGGAAGGCAGAGAGGTGGGAGGGCGACCAAAGGCACGAACGAAGAGGAGGGTCTTGAGACTGGCCTTGAAGGAGACAAGGGAGGAAGCGAGGCGAAGGGACTGTTTGGTTGGAGTTCTAGAACGTGGGTGCAGAGACGCTGAAAGCGGGTCGGGCAGGAGACATGGAGTAGATCAGAGCCTAAAACAGCGGAGAGGGCGAGGCAGAGGGATTAAGGGATAGAGATCCAAAGTTTCAGGGCTTAGTGGCTATGATTTGCCGCAGTAAGAATAACATGAGGCTGTTTAAAAAGTAACATCATGTCTTCATTGAAAGGTTTAACTCAAAGACTCCATAGTCTAACGTGTGAAGTGCTTACGGCGACGTAGCAGCGTGGAGCAAAGTGTGAGTCAAATGGATCCCGTGAAAATTTGAAGGGCTGTAACAGAGATGATTCGCTCAATAATATTTTTTAAAAATGACAGGCGCAGGAACACCTTAATCCAGGAACCTCGGCCATCACATTTCCTTTGGAAGGCTGGCAATTCTGCCCACTGGGCGGCAGCAAAGTCCTTTAGATTCATTCTTCCATTTGTTGCAGCGCCTTTTACGTCTCAAAGAGCTTCACAGGATTTACTGTAAAGTGTAGCGACTGTGCGTTTTGTTGGCGAACAGTCAATTTGCACTCACCCTGTCCTAAAAACAGCCATGAAAGTGAGCGACCAATTTTAATTGAGGGATTGTTGGCCAGGACACCGGGAGAAACTCCCTTCTCTTTTCAAATAGTGCTTTGGGATATTTAACGTCCACCCGAACAGGCAGACAGGTCCACAGTTTAATGTTTCATCTGAAGGACAGTGTCTCTGACAATGCAGCACACCCCCAGTACTGCACTGGAGTACCAGCTTCGGCTACGTGATTCCAAGTCCCAACGTGGGGTTTGAAACCACAGCTTCTGAGAGGTGATTGGTGAGAGCGCTACCACAGCATCAGGCTGGACAGAGGGGCGAGACTCCACTCTGAGGTGACTGAATGGGCGTTGTAGGGATTAGCATTGATTGAGACTCATACAGCATTAACCACCTCCACACTGCGCCGTGTTGGGTAATGATTGTGTAATGATCCTTCTTCACACTCCAGACTCCCAACACCACAATCGCACACCAGCCAACACTAACTTTTTTGGATACAAAAACATTTTATTTCTCGAAAAATATTAAAACACTGACCATCCCACGCAGCAGCCCCCACCCACGCTCCGGGGAAGGGAGAGAGGAAAACACTGGTTTCCATTATTAACCAACACAAAGGATTGTGAGGATTGTGCAAGTCAGTCAGGTCTTTTTACAAGAATATTAATGATAATTGTTGCATTTGATAAAGCGCCTTGTCATGTCATTGAGAAGTTTCTAAGCGCTTCACGGAATATACTGTAAAGTGAATTGACTATTTTATGGCAAACCGCGGTAGCCAATTGTGCACAGCAGCTTCCCACAAAGTCATGGATTGAGTGACCACATTTTATTTTATTTTCAAGGGATTATTATCCCCAGAAAACGATCCACCAATTGTCTAACAATTTGCTTACTACTCGGTAAAGAGAGGCGTGTGTGGAATAAGGAAACTCGCCCAAGGTTTCACTCTGCCGGGAATCAACCCCAGGTCCTCTCATTTGCCAGGCGAGTGTTTTAACCACTGAGCTACAGGACTCCATGACTCTACAAGTGATGGTGAAGCTCGTTTGCGCTCGGCTGGATCAGGTTTTACACTGAACAAGCAACACACCTTTTTGACATTTGGATGCATGAGCACTAGAGGGCGATCGGGTTCAGGATGCTTTAAACCAGGATAGGGTTAGGGTTAGGGTTAGGGTGAGGAACTCTGCGACTCATTGAAGAACCAGCTGGATACGGCAATGGAGAGGATGGGGAAACTATGGAAGGATGGGGATCAAATGGAAATAGAAAGGAAACAGTTTGTCATCCCCAAATCTTCACATTGTGATATCATGATCTTTCTTTCTTAATAATAATAATCGTTGCATTTAATATAGCACCTTATCACGTCTGAAAGCATTTACTCCTGGCCAATCGCAAGACTCTTTTCCCCACAAATAATCGTGGATTGAGTGACCAAATTATTATTATTTTTTGGGGGGGGATTATTATCCCCAGAAAGCGATTCGCCAATCGACTAACAATCCGATTCCAATTGGCCGGAGCCGCTGTAAGGAGGTCCTGCTTGTTAGCGAATATCAGCACTGGGACTCCGCTCAGCTTCTCTTCATCCAGCAGCTCAGCAAGCTCCTGAAGTCAGCAAAGCAAGAGAGGCACAGATAAAGAAGGTCCTTTGGTCCAGCGCCTTTGATAATAATCCTTGCATTTGATGTAGCACCTTATCACGCCGTTGGGCCATCTCCAAGTGCTTCATAGAAGATACTATTAAGTGAATTGATTGTGTATTTTGTGGGGAAAATTAAGTAGCCAATTGTCCCACAAATAAGTCTGGATTGAGTGATCAAATTATTTCTTTTTTGGGAGGGATTATTATCCCCAGAAATGCATTCGCTACAATCGACTAACAACATTCCATACTTACTGCTAGGTAAGCAGTGGAGATGTGGAGTAAGGAAACTTGCTAAGGTTTTGCCCTGCCAGGGTATCCAACCCAGAGTGAGGCGAGTGCTCTAAGAACTACACTACAGGACTCCACAATCCTGCATAGCCACCCAATTGTCTTCCCACAACGGCATTGAGCTGCTTCTTAAATGAGTCCAGTGTCCTGGTCTCGACTGCCATGGAGTCCTGAGCTCAGTGGTTAGAGCACTCTGCCTGCAAGGAGAACGACTGGGTTCGATTCCAGGCAGGTGAAATGTTGGGCAAGTTTCCTTACTCCACCCGCCTCTGTTACCAGCAGTAAGTAGGAACCCGATTGTTAGTCGATTGCGGATCGCTTTTCTGGGGTAATAATCCTTCAAAAAAATAAAATAAAATGTCACTTCAATCACATGACTGTTTGTGGGACACTGCTGTGCATTGGCTGCTTTTGCCACAAAATATACAGTCAATTCACTTACAGTATATTCTGTGAAGCGCTTTGAGACTCTTGAAGACGTGATAAGGCGCTTTATTAAATGTAAAGATTACTATTATTGTTGATGACCCATTCCAACTGCTGATTACCCGCTGTGTATAGAAATGGTGTCTGTCCTAAAATTGCCCTTCAATGCCTTGATCCTCTTGTCCTGCTGCCTTGTTTTATGTGGCAGTATTGTTAGTCCTTTATGGGTTAATTTCACAGGACTAAATGGCATCAGTCATAAGTCAAACCAAAATACATTTTCTCTAAACAACAACAATCCTGGGAAACAACTACAATTAATATTATGAGGACCAGATTCCATAAGGTATAAATAGCACAGGAACTCAATTATAACGTCCCTCTATCCTTGTATTTGATACAGCACCTTATCACAACGCTGAGAGTCTCAAAGCGCTTCATATTGTAAAGTGAATTGACTGTATGTTTTCTGGGGGAATAAAACCGGAGGGTTTATTATTCACCCGCACTTTTAAAACTTCACATTATCTGATACTGAAACCATCTGAAAGCCAGACACAATTAAAACAACACCCTATAGAGACCAGCTACAAGGATGATGTCTTGAGCAAAACCAGGTGCTGCTGATATGTTTATAATGATCAGCAAAGCAAAGGTTTTGGGACCAGGTTAGAGACAACCACACAGAGCAGCCAATTAAACAACAAACACTTTGGTGTCCTGGAGATGAGGAGAGTGACATCGTGGAGGCGGGTTTGCCAGAAAAAGCGGAGGGGGGGAATACTGTTGAAATGAAAGCAGTGCAGGTCAAATGGGATCGATTGGATTGTTTTAGTTCTTTTCGACTCCGTGGTATCAGTTGACACTTTGTATGCCGAGTAACACTGCAGCCATTCGGCTTTGAGACAACAAATTTTCAAACTACTTTGATTGCATGCCAGCTCTCTGAAGCCATTAGATAGCTCTCTTTCTGAATGACATGTCAGCAAATGTAGATGCTTTATAATAAAATACCACTGACACCTCAGGTTACCAACTGTTTAGAAATAGTCTCAGCTTTCTAGTTATGCAATGAACATAAAAGTTGAAAATAATTTGGCTGTTAACTACTATTCAAGTCATCACTGTTGTATTAGTCACGAATTTGTCTTGCCCAGAACAGAACCAGAGGACACGGCCTACAATTGAAAGAGGGTAAATTCAAAATATATTAGCAGAAACACAATTTCAATAAGCGAGTACTAAATGTATGGAAAAAGCTCCCTAGGGAGCTGGTGGAGAAGAAAGTGCTGATTCCTTCAACACCAAATTAGATAATTTATTTTAGGAAATAATATCTTAGAATACAGTATATTGTTTGAGACAACATGTGCTTGCAATTGCCAGGATGTTGAAAGGCGAACCGGATGGACCTTGGTCTTCTTTCGTCTAGCAATTCTTATAAGAACATAAGAATTAGGAGCAGGAGTCGGCCATTCAGCCCCTCGAGCCTGTGCCCCACCATTCGATAAGATCATGGCTGATCTTCAGACCTAACTCTAATTACCTGCCCTTTCCCCATATCCCCTAATCCCTCTGTTTTTTAAAAAATCTCTCAGTCTCAGCCTTGAAGATGTTCAAGGACTGACATCTACAGCCTTCTGGGCAGTGAATTCCATAAACTCACTACCTTCTGAGTGAAGAAATGTTTCCTCTGTTCTGACC